CCGAGTAATTCTCGATACGTACCTCTGATGACAGAGCTCCCGTCCGGGAAGCCTCGAGTCCAAAATCGTATATCAAGAGGCAGGTACTACTAAAAGGTAGGTACGGACTTCGGTAAAGTAAACCGAAAAAAAATACGTCAGGCTCATAATGATCAGGGTAGCATAAACCATGGAAAACAATTGTTTTCCAGGAATCCACTTTCACAAGCATTTCTTAATCTTAACCCACTCGTCTGCTGACGTAACATTGTAAGCCAAAAAGGTCCCTAAAACTTGACACTAGACATAAACTTGACCACTAGACACCCCAATCAATGTATGGAAAACTGCAAACATTCACATGACGATGACTCACCCCACTTAATTAAGGAATTGTGCTAGAAGATGAACAAAGACAAAGATGAGGAAATAAAATAATGTGTAATGTGTTAGGCATAAGGTTAGTTAGGCATAAGGTTAGTTAGGAGTTAATTTATTAAGTGACATTGAATCATGAGATTTGGAACCATGATAAAATTGACTAATTGTTAAGACAATCTATGCCTACAACAGGTCATGAGGGAAAGGAAATATTTCTACGAACGTAGTGATCAGGAGTGTCTGCTTTATACTCGGACGACGAGCCCTTAGATGGCAAGTACGTACGGTACAGGGCTTTAAGTACGTACGGTTCAGCTACTTTTAAAGGTACGTACCGTACAGGCACTGTAAGGTACAATTTTTGTTCAAATTTTTAGAATCAACTTCAGTGAATTACTTGCAATTTTTGATTAGTATTATCATCATAATTTTTGAGATAGAAGTCGAAAATTAACACAGTGGTTAAAACAATAAAAGATTTAAGAGGAAAATTTGTGTACCGGATCGCTCTTAAACGGTACTACACTACTACTACTTGTAATTATCGTTAAACTCAAAGCTTCATCCTTTTGTTGCAGTATACGAACACCAGCTTTTCAGCTAGCTCAGGTCGCAACCTTAATCTACGCTTGTCCATAATATACTCGTAATCTCTAAAATTGGTCTCACAAATTGACGAAGAACTTAAAACACTGAATACTATTTGGGCCAACTGTTTAAGCAGAAAAAGTTCTCCTCCAAAATATTTCCAGTATATTGACGGATTAATAAGCTTCATAGGTTCGAATTCCGCATCAGTGTAGGGTTTAACCCCTTCTCTGTCGCACGTACCGCGCGTCTAGATTTTGTTTCCATTGCTATCAACTGGATTTAACCTTTCAGCCTACTTTATTAAGTACGTACCGTACAGCTAATTTAAAGGTACGTACCGTACGAACTTACCATACTTATCTTTTGTGGGGACCGAGGGCTCGTCACGAGCCCTCGGTCCCCACAAAAGATAATCTTTAGATTTATAGTTAAGACTAGTAGTACAATTTGTGTAAAGGAACTCATGGTCAGTCTATAAAACACATGAAAAGCAGTGTGCTCCATAGTCCATACCCCTTAGTCTCTAGCTTTGTTATCAGAACACGTGATTCGATCATTGTAAAAAGGGTTTATTTGTTTGATTACGTGTAGTATGGTAATTGTAAAGTATTAACACAAGTTAACTAATGATATTATGTATATTGTTTATGACTATGAGTACAGATTCGAAGTGGAACATCGAGTTCCGTTCTGGCGAAGTCTGGCGAGTTCTGGGGGGAGGATCATCTGATCTCAAAAGTTCGGAAAGATTGGAAGGGCTGATCTAAAAGCAAGCTCTGCTCAGTATTTAAAGCTAATCTAACTAGACTAACAATGTACAAGCTAGTTAACGAATATATATGACATCTAACTTTGCTCTACGAATACATTATCTTTCACCGCGATTTTCGAGAATTTCGCCGCGATTTTTCCTAGTTTGGCATGTCGCGGCGCCGCGATTTTTGGCCTAAATAATCGCGATTTTCTTTTGTCCTTGTACTGTATAGCATTTTATCTCCGCTAAAACTGTGTCACAACTCTATAATATGTAAGTATGATATATGCGCCACCTTGTTTCTTTCAGACGAAGTAAAATTGGCCCCAACAAATGTTTACCGGCCCAACGAATCCATGGCAGTATCCAGATAGCCCGACCCCTGTTCGCGAACAGGTGTTCGTGAACAGTTGTCCGCGAACAACTTATGACATGATGGTTACCATATCATAGGAATACAATGAATACAATTAGCACGGTTGGTTCACATTATCGCACGCGAATTTCAATAAGCGGTGTCAAGGCTTATTAATTAATGATACGAATACGAGATCAGTTCACATCATGAAATAGGTATATAAAGAATAACTATCATCAGACTACATCAATCAAACAATTAATGGCAAATTATGCTAGTCGTAACTAATTGCCTCCAAGATATCATACATACCATTCAATTTCATGATTGATATGCGGTCATATGATCTGGTAACCAATTGTTTAAAAAAAATAGATTGAATCGGTCATATTGCATATTACATTATATGGTGTACAACTGTTCACGAACAACTGTTCGCGAACGGTTGTTCGCGAACAGGAGTAGGGCTATCTGGATACTACCGAATCCATCTCACGGCCCTAAATACAACTTGACTTGGCCCTGACTAGCTTATGAAACAAAATATGTCCTAAATTACTTATTTTGTGAGTTGTTGAAGAAAAAAGCACGCGTATTTAGGTCAAAAATAGCTCTAAATTGTCAGTTTTCTTTTTTGTTTCGTTGACATAGCTATTGCGAGTCGTTTGCAGCCATCTGAAACTTTTTAGAACCCTCCTAGCCCTAAATGCTGCATGCGTGTTTTCTCGTCACCGGAAATTAGTTTTTTGCCAATGACTCGAAAAGTGAGCATTTTAATTTTGTTTATTGATATTCAAAAATTGCTTCATAAATTGGCTATATTTATAAATATAGATATTGCAGTTAATTTGAGCCTACCCAAAATTTTATTAACGATGTTCAGAAGCTGAGATATATAAATGATAACAACACAAATGGGCGTGGCCAAAACCACCCCCCTGACTTTTTGGACTTGGAATTTTGTTTAGTCCAAAAATCTGTTCAGCCCTCTCTAAATCTTATTTCGTTCATAACTGACGAAACTAGAAGCTTAAAAGGAATTCCAAACAAGAATACATTTTACTATAAGGTAAGTTTGCTTTCTTAAGAAAAGACTTTTTTTCTATTATAATAACACATTCGGGGTTTTATTCCTAACGCTTACAATAGGTTTTGCGGCTTCACAGTAAATTAAGCCATGGAACGGAGAAAAAATAAAGTTTTATATTCAAATGAGACGTATGAATAGTTGTTGTCCTCTCCGAGGTTCAGGTTAGATGTAACCTGTTAGATGTAATGTAAAGGTTGGACACTGGCCACATATTATAAGAGAAGATGACAGGTAATTTTCCCTCTTTCTTACAGCAATAATAAACGCTAATTTTAGCCCCTGTACACTTAATTTGCAATTGTACGAATACTGCTAGTAAATTTTAACAGTTCTGGGTCTCAAGGCTGGGTCTTAATGCTGAACTCCCTTACTATTATTTAAGTATCGATAACAAATGTTGATTGTTTTTGTCGAAGTCTGTGTTGACAGCATAACACAGATATGCTGCAGGAAGTTTCTGGAGAATTTTGCAAAAAAAGGTTCACGTTATAAAGTTATAAGTTGACCTGCTTCCTTCAAACGCTGCAATGTACGCATAGTTCGAGCAAAAGTGCAAACTGCACGTGACATTTCTTAACCCACGTGACATTTCCAGGGCAACACATGACTCTGCACTTGTCACGTGTCTTGAGGGAGGACCAATGACCAGTCCTTCGTTCCAGAGCAGCCAATGCGAGGAGACTTCAGAACAATTTATTTATCCTCACACAGGGAACATCCTATAAGCGCTGAGCTTGCTGGGTGTGGAGTTGAGGGGCTTCTCTAATATATTAACAGTATTAGCAGCGGCGCGCGGTCACGTGGGCTAACTATATTAGTCCTGTCACGTGACCGCACACTTCTAACGCCGTGTTGCCGGCTTGCAAGCCTCATTCTTCGGTTTATTCAACATTACTTTGTTTTAGCCACCCTGGCCTAAGCTTCATGTGCGATTCCCCAGCTTCAGGTACAATTCACTAACGAATGCACCTTGTCATCGGACGGGGATGATTATCTAATAAAATAATAGATACTGAACATTGATACTAAGCTCCCTTACTAGTGCTTCAGCTGCAACGTTAGCAGTCGCTAGTTACGCTTTACACTGCAGTTCTTGTAACGCTGCAGATATTTCGGCCATGGCAGTCGATGTCTGACTTCAATTATGGTTGCTGTGACAGCGCTTAATTTTACGTCGTGTGTCGATGTGTTAGAAAAACCGGGTTCCTCAGATTTCCTGGAGACAGTTTATATTTGCTGCTCTTGCTTTTCATGTCAACTTCTCGCCTCCACATAAGCAGGAACCTTGTTTTATTCCGGTAATGTACTGTAGCTACAGTCAGTTTGCACACTTTTTTACAAAACATGTCGACACGAAATCAAGATGTTTAATAAAGTGGCATCACGTGATGAACATCAACAAATCTGTTGAAAACAGCTGGCTGGTTGAATTGCACCGAATATTTAACACGTGTGATACCAGAATATCACGTGACTGTAACGCTACCTGCTGATAGGTAGCGAGGAGACGGTCGTTTTGTCACGTGGACATGTAACGACAGGCCGAATACCTGTCAACAGCATAGTTGTCAGGACTCACCGCTGTTTCTCCAAGTTATGCTCACTGTTCCCTCGCTACTGCTGCTGCTATGCTTTTAGTTTTTGTACTCCGCCTTTCAGTTCTAAATTTGTTTATTTGTTTGTGAGGGTCCTGGTCAATCAGTGTGATTTCAAATCCATTTCATTTAAACTTATTAACATATTACATTCACTTTGAAATTTGTTTTATTGTTGGTTTAAGTTCGGCAATAGATATTTTATTAAAAATATAAGTAAATACGAAAGATATCTTACCCTTTCTTCACTTTAGCCAAAGCTCCAGTTATCATGGGTGATGGTAAGTTAATTTGATTACATCAGTCTTACTTTAGTTATGCAGTTCATGCAAGAAACTCACCAACTTATGAAAACGAATAAAAATCCTTTCTCCATGGTCTTGCTGTACTGTAAAGATTTGGATTCACATTAAAATAAAATATGTAGTTAATATACTCACCCAAATTTCTTGCAGCCGCAGAAATGAAGGACGGGTTCAGCCTGTTCGACAAAGTTGGAGATAACAACATCGAGGCTAGCCAGATCGGTGACGTCATGAGAGCTTTCGGCATCAACCCAACCAACGTAAGAAACAATTCTTTTTCCTTTTCAGTCTAATAAGGATAGTCGTGTTCCATTACTTATTTACGAAAATGAGATAGCCTTAGCGCTTACAGGCTTTCGTGACGAGGTCTGCAGGAAACATAACTTTAGATATGAGTTGATAAGATGATTTGTAATAAGCACAGCGCCATAAATAAAAGGGTTAATGTCACAGAGATTCCAGCCATAAGACGTTTCCTTGTGTTTCAATCGACAGAATTACAATAACTGAGCTAAATCCTAAACGTTGTATTCTGCAGCCATTGCTGCATCAAAAGTTGCAGTGCTGACTCAAGAACACTGCAATTTGTACACTTGAGAGGTCACCGGAACAACATGTATCATACCATCCGGAGAAGATAATTGAATTTAAAACCCGGATCAGGCTACAAATGATACATTGCTCTGCGACCGTTACTCTTCTGTTATTGAATAATTTTCTTTTCCTGTGCCATAATGAGTGTCCTGCTGTAATAGCGTGCATTTTATTGAAAATTCTAGTCACTACTTCATTGGATATTGTTATGATGGCATAAGAATTGTTAGCACAGACACGATTGATCCGAACAAAATGATTCGCACTTACCGACAGAAATATTTGAAAATTCTTGGATGTTATAAATTTCTGATAAAATTTATTTACAAAAAGTTATTTATTTCATCAATCAATGATAATTATTTGACGTATGGCTTCCGAATAATTTAAATGACAGGTGCTTTGTCCATCATGTTTCAGCTTCAAGTCTTTTATAGTTATATAAAGATTAACAATTGTTAATTAAATCATCACTATTCTCACAAAACAGGTCGCAGCGATTTCATATCTTTCAAAAATCAAAGCTTCATGACAATGAGTCACATCGATTTTAATTTGTCTAATCCCCAAATATTGCAGGCCCAGATCCAGAAAGCCATGGAAGGAATTGACCCAGCTGGAAAGAAGAGGCTCGGATTCAACAGATTCATGCCAGTGTTCGAGACCGTAAAGGGAGCCAGCAAGCCCATGACATTCGAGGATTACGTTGAGGGTATGAAAGTTTTCGACAGAGATCTTGTCGGATACCTGAACTCCGGAGAACTGAGGCATTTACTGACATTCATGGGTATGTAGCTTTAAACTTGCGGTTCACTTCCTCTTTACTTAGCTGTAAACTTGCGGTTCACTCACTCTTTAGAATTAGATTTGAAGCTCCAACACTTTCTATAAGGATTAAGGACCATATTAGGGTAAAAGTTTCATCAACACAATTACAAGCAGCACGGAGGTGTTGAAACGGGCAATTGGTTTGGGTTGAACTTGTGACAAGTTGCTTTCAACACTGTCTGCTGACAATGCTTGTACAGCATAAAAGAAACCGCTCAAACATTTTGATTTATAGGTTCTATCAGAGTCAAAACTTCTGCAAATAGTAAAAATTCAGATTTATTTTCTAAATGGTGTTTTAATTTACCGTTTTCTGTTAAGGTGAGAAACTGACAGATGAAGAAGTAGATCAAATTTTCGCTGGACTTGAAGATGATAACGGCAACGTACAATATGATGGTAAGTTACATTGTTCATTAATTATATTACATAATTACATACTTAACTAGATTGGCACGTCCATTAAATTATTCAATCCTTTATGAAATTATATCGATTTTATTTGACCATTTTTAGTAGGTATGGCATGAATACCACAAAAGCTTTCTTCGATCATACCAAAAATTTTACAATCTATGTTTCAGAACTTATCAGAAGACTGATGAAAGACGCATAAGTTGAACACTGGGTAGTTTATAATCTTGAGACCAGCGCAAGATGCCCTGCTGCCAGAGCGCACCTCGAGGCTGGGTCCTCTACCCCGGAGACATGGCACGAGGCTGGCCTGGTGGTCGCAATGGTGGTACCCGCGGGATATAAGTCCATGGAAAGACAGAAAATCGTTATATTGTGGCGCCACAAGTATGAAACTCTAGCTCCTGTATTGTGTTATGTATAAATTTGGGCTCAATTTTATACAGTTTGTAAATTATGTTTTGATTATTGCATGCTTGTTCAAATCCTGAGTTTTACTTGTATTGATGCATTGACATCCAGAATCAATCTTTCATAAAGATAGAAAATCATCTAATTTGGGATTATCTCCTATAGAAACATGCCCGCGAATACTACGCATTTGACAGGGTCCAAAAATATTGATCAAGACCGGAATTAAATCCGAAATTTGTTAAGTTCAAACGATCGTTTAAACGTTGCGTTATATCATTTTATAGCAGTATACGTTCTGTAGTTTGACAAGCCGTGAAGTTCAACTGTGTCCAACATAATTAGGGCCCATTCACCAAATCTGTCCAACGTAATTAGGGCCCATACAAAATCTGTCCAACATGATTAGGGCCCATACAAAATCTGTCCAATGACTTCACACAAAGTTGCGCATCGTTTCCAAAACAGTATATCGATGACCAAAACTCGTTTTGCTACCCTAATTCCGCTATGTTGGATCAAGAACTGGGGGATGCCAGTCAATACTGTGTAATGCTGATTTAGATTACACAGACTGCAGGCAGGGCGGGTTTGTCTTTCAGCTCTGCTATGTAGCCAGGTATTGCTGGTGGTGGAAATCTCTAATGTGTATGCAGACGGAAAATTGTCTTGAACTAGAGTGCACTTTTCGATGCACGTACTGATCAAGTTCGAGAAAGTTGATTTCTGGCGAACTTGAGTTGAGACAATATAATCTATTATCGCGCTTTTTCTTAAACAGCTAACCTGTTCGGAGCAAACTATAAGATAGGTGTCAAGTGTCAACGAAAGTGTAAAAAAGCGTTAGATTAAAAAATCTTGCATTTTATAATGAAATAAAGAGCAGGTTCGGACTAGACACCAGCTATCTCTTCCCAATCGCAAGGAATGCGATGTAACAGCTGAGGACAACCTCCCTCAACTTAAGTATCGAGACAGGACGATATGGTCGGGGGAAATATTGAATCGAAGTTTTTTTATTTTGTTATTTTTTATGATTTCAATACCGACGACAAAGAAAACAAAACAGATACAATTGCACCACGATGAGTATTGTTAATATTCAAGTATTTGTATCAGCATATGTTTAATAATTTAACGTATAAGAGACCCCAATACATATGGTTTTATTGGTTACTTGTGAGGAGAAGAACTATATAAGATTTGACAAGTGACAGTGATTCTGAGTTTGCATTTGATAATATCACCTCCGCACCAGTATCTAGATCAACCAACTACCAATGTCTCTCTGGGCATGTGTCTACAATCTACATGCACCCAAATATCTTTCCAGCAAACCTGCAGCTATACCACACACAGTTACAAACAGCGCATTTCTTATCGTTCCAATTTAGCTGGTCGACATACCATCCCTAATCACTCTCCATTTTGCGATTTCAATCCAAATTTTGAGAAGATATCAGTAATTTTTGACGTTTGGCCATGGAATTAACCATAAAATCTTTTTCGATAAACTGAAATTAATTTTTTTTTTTAAAGTTTTGATCGTGCTATCGCTAAATTAACAATAGCTTAGAAAAAGGAGAAATGCGACAAAAAAAATTTTGGCGCAAATTTTTAATAGCCGACTTTTTAAAAAAAAACTTTTGTTTCCAACTTCAAAAAAAAGAATAACTAAATGGAGTTATTAAGGTGGTCAAGTTTCCTGAATACCTTAATTCCCAAAAATTTGGGCGACCAAAAATTTGAGCGGGCCTCTCGCCCAAATTTTTTGCAGACCAAATTAATTGCATAAATCTTTTCCGCCTGCTAAATTTTTTGCTAACCAAACTTTTGGCATTTGGCCTGTGGCCCTGAAATCTATAGAAAGATGGCTTTTTCTTCATATCCAAGTGAAAAAATATTTGAAATTTTAGTTTTCTAATCTATCATTCATGGCTTGACCAAGTAGCAGGGGTCTGGGGGCGCAGCCCCCAGTGTGGTCAAGGGGCGGAGCCCACCGGAAAATTTTTAAGGAAATTAGACAATTTTGACGCATTTTCCAGTACTTGAGGGAAACGAATTTACGTTAGCAGCAACTAAAAGAAAAAGCAAATTAATGTAAGTAGTCCGAATTTAAGCTTGACAGTACATACACGGAATTCATCCATTGTTCGTGGTAACTGGCATGGTATTTAAAGATAACACAATGTAGGGGGGGGGGGGGGGGGGGCTACAGTGCAACAAAACTGTAAACCATAGCCGTCTGGTTTAATGCTTTGTTGAAGAATACATAATTTTCATGTTTTTGTAAACTTGTCCCCCAAATCCCAGGGGGGGGGGGCAGCTGCCCCCTGCCCCCCCCCCCCCCAGTGATGTAGCCCATGCGCAACACACAATTATGTACACCTTTGTTTCCCCAAAGCTAAGCGTATGTGCCGCTTAGTTTGATAGATCATGATGTAAAACTTCTAATTTTCTTCCAAACCTTTCGACCATCTGGTGAGGCGTCATAATGATAATTGTATGTGAAAGGGGTATGATAAGATATGCTGAGTGTAAGTAGACTAAACTATCTGATTGAGAGACTAAATATCACTATTGTATATCTATCATTTTGTACTGTGCCATCGTCACTGTATTTTTTAGTAGTTACTGGGCAGATCGTAAATTTCATAATGTGAAACAACTCAGACTACCACCTACATGCTTAAAATTGGCAAATATCTAACTGAAATTTTAGTGGAAAATCGTTCATTTTTCGAAGAATTTGTGCCCAAATTTTTGGTCGCCCAAATGAGTTCAAATTTTCTGCCCAAATTTTTCGGGCTCAAATAAATTGTGCTCAATATAATGGCACACAAATTTTTGGGAACTAAGGTACTGCAAATCAGCAAAATACGGTAACAAAAATAATTGTTCTTAAGCTTTAGGGATTTGCATCTTCGCGTGATTGTCACTGTTATTTGGAAAATCAGTTGGTGTTTCAGTCTTTAGACACGCATTTCCTTCAGCTCGGTGGAGTTTGTTACTGAAAATGATGAGAAGTTATTGTTAAAAGAATGCACAGTGTAAAAGTGTAAAAATAAAATAAATTTTGTATGGTAGATTTATGGTAGACAATCTTGACGCATCAGTGTTTTCTAATTGTAGGAGAGCAATTCTGGGGATGTCATTAATGAACTCATTTTCTAATTATATCAACTCGTGCCAGTCCTAAACACTTTGAGATATTTCATGCTACAGTTCTTAACACGAAACCCTGTGATATCACAATTCACATAGCTAGACAAATTAATTCGACGATTTTTATATTTCCTTTTCTATATGTGGGACATCGATGTGGTAGGATCTTAATGATTATGAATAAAATATATCTTATTTCTGAGAGTAAGAACGCCAAAACTGCCCCTCCCAGTTTTAAATAGGTTTTATATAAGCAAACAATTTAAACACCTTCTCACTTCTGTTTCCGGTATGTAATTTGTGGGGTGATTCGGAATCAGCGTTCGAAAATACATTGAACCAGGTAAGTTTCAACTGTCGGGGTCCTTTTAGAAAAATCTCGAAGGTCGACTGTAGATTGATTCAGCACGCTCGTGTAAATATAGTCTGAGTTTCAGTTAAAAGCCTTGATTTACCTGGTATAAAATTCATAATTACAAGTCTTAACCTGAAATCGTTTCCGCGACGATCGTCGATGGTCGTCAAATAATTATTCATATACCCAGTTAATTATGTCATGGCATTGCCTGGAGTTTAATATCAATTTAAATTGATATTAAACTCCAGGCAATGCCATGACATTGACTCCTTAACCATGACCAACCATTTACCAAAATGCAAAATACATAGTACGAGGAGCATCAGCAAGTATAGTAGTTTTATCATTACTAAGTTTAATTTACCGAATAAATAAAATAGTAAAATGATGTTTCTCGCAACCACTTCGGTACAACGGCGAGATGCCACGCCGAGCTGCGAAGGATTGACATCGTGAATCAATGCAGGTGCATATACGTTTATTTCTTAATGAAAGGGATTTCAAGCCAGTAAGCGCCATATCGATCGCGACGTATTTTGGACGCTGATTCTGAATCACTTTTGAATGACATAGGGTAAACATGCTTCCCTGAGGAGTTATGAACGAACAACTGTTTTGGTCACGTGACAAACGTGAATTCAACTGTTTAGGGTTAGTGTTGAGGTTAGGGTCATTGTTATATAATAATAATATATAGTTATTGTTTTGGTTACGGTTACAGTTAGGGTGACGATTATTGTTATGGCTGTGAAGGATTGACATCTTGAATTAACCCTTTATTATAATTATATTTATAGTTATACTACTACTAGTGTACCCCGGCCTTCTCCCGGGATTTCACTGCCGCAGTTAAAAAGGGTAGGAGTATTTACCCGCTGAGTCATTAACACATATTTTAATCAGTTTTTTCTCGAATCTCGTGGCCTGGATAATTAAGTCATTATTAGGCACCACATTCCATGATCATAAGGTTCGTACATCCTGTACCACGACTATTACACCTCATCACTCCTAGTCCTATTTACTCTGCACCACACCCGCCTATTATATTTGAAAACATGCATTACATTTAATTGTCGTATGAAAGTAAACAAACATACCGCATGAATGAGTGGCTCCCCCCCCCCCCCCCCCCCTAATAAGCTTATAGTATTACTTGCAGCTAACCTAATTATGACTTATGTACCAACGCTACAGGGTGGCCCATAAGTGACTACCCACACGCAACCTCTTAATAACTCACGTAATTCGTCTCCAAATTGCACCAGAATTTCAGAGATTATAGATATGGGTCATACTTAGATTTCCTGAAAGTTTCGTAAGCCACGCCCAATTACAGTGGGCGTGGCGTGACACTCCCTCTTTTTCACTATTGTCTTCATAAAATGAGAACGCTTTAAGCTTAGAACTCAAAATTTTTTGCACACATTTGGCTTGATAATTGAAAACTTTTCCAAAAGTTTCAAGTTCATTGGTTAAAATATGGCTGAGTTATGACCATTTTAAAATCCATCGGATATGTGATCCGAGCACTCAGTCAGTGATATTTGCACTCAATTAGTGATCTCGTCACCCAATCTGATCAAGAGTAAGGCGTTAGCGTGTATTAATGAGGTTCATTAGGCTTTGATTGGATACCGATGATGACTTTGCTAGAAAGGGAAACACAAATTTTTAGGATAAAAACCAGATCGTGACTTTTCAGGAAAAGCCGTTCTCTCCACCACTTCATCCGGTCTAGTAGAGCCCCAGTGAATTGCATTCTGGGAGTTGCATATCCGTTTATATGGCCTTGTCGCTGTACCAGATTTCGTCCTCAAAGTAGGGATCCACATTCTGCTTGGACAGGAATGTGTTGGCGAAATCTATCCTCGATTGGAAATCACGGTCCAAAAGTTTGTGTTTCTTTGTGATTCGGTAGGCCCGGTTCGATGATTCAATGGATGGTTCATTCCTTTTTATTGATTGTAAGGAACCTGTGACTAGCAGGGCTCACAAGCCCTGAAATGGTGACACCACCATAAATTCGTGTGATAGCGTTTTAGGTGCAGTCAGCTGTATAGGCCGGCCCATAAGCAGGCTGCAACCAATCAAGCGGTGCATGTGAGCCAAACAGGCCATTAACCAAGTGACGAGATCACTGACTGAGTGCTCGGATCACGTATCCGATGAGTTTTGAAATGGTCATAACTTAGCCATATTTTAACCAATGAACTTGAAACTTTGGGAAAGGTTTTCAATTATCAAGCCAAATGTGTGCAAAAAATTTTGAGTTCTTAGCTTAAAGCGTTCTCATTTTATGAAGACAATAGTGAAAAAGAGGGAGTGTCACGCCACGCCCACTGTAATTGGGCGTGGCTTACGAAACTTTCAGGAAATCTAAGTATGACCCATATCTATAATCTCTGAAATTCTGGTGCAATTTGGAGACGAATTACGTGAGTTATTAAGAGGTTGCGTGTGGGTAGTCACTTATGGGCCACCCTGTACATAATATTCAGTAATGGAAGAGAAAGCGAAGAGGGAGAAAAAAGTGAGCCATTTTATGTCACATTTGTGGTACAAAACCATCAATTAAACCACTTTGACTTACCACCGGCCGATTTTTAAAAAATTTGCTTTTTGGCCTCGTCAGAGTTTTGTCGGCACTATACCGAAAAAACCAGTCCCGTAACTCTAACCTTTTTCTAAATTACAAATTAAGCCGCTCGGAAATTTCCCGCACACACACATACACACACACACACAGATTTATTGAGATTATTGTTTAAGATGTATCATCTGATTGTTTCGATGCCCGTTCAAAATTATGTTCGTTCACGCAAGTCGTAATGTTCGGTCAAGAAACTTCCGATAAGGTACATAATTGTAAAACTTTTAGAATTAATTGCTAAAAATTGGGCAGTGAATAATACACTATGGATGATGATCATTAATCATTTTATGTTACCACATGACTAAATTTAACACTTTCATTTTGTGTCACTGACTCGTAGTCGTATTTAGAGCGATATAATTATAACACTCGCCACATTGACACATATAGTTCTAATTCTATAATACCAAAAAAGCTTATATGTACCCGAAGAAAATACTGTACAGAGTGGTCCGTGATTGTTAAGATCTCCCGCTTCTTTTTTTCCGATGACGATCCCATCAAAATTAGTATTCGAGTCGTTTCTCCTGAAATATTACAAGTCAGAGTTGTGCAGTAGAATGGTATAGGAGAGACGAATTTACGACAGTTCACTGCGCACCGGCGTAAATACCTATCTATCAGTATCTTTATTATAATACGCCTAGAATTGTGTATCTGGAGTCCCTAGCGTATCGAGCAGAAAATGCCCGTAAGAGCTTCTAGTTTCAGTTTAATGATCTACTAAGTATTTATCCTTACAACCTGTCATGTTTAAATTATAGAACAGTTAACTATAGTATTTACGATGCAGTTGAGGCCATGCGGCACTTCTTAAACATTTCGATGCAGCACGTGCAGTGAACTAGAATAAAACAGTTATCAGTTATGAATATGACAGGTAGCTTATTAAAATTGTCGTATTGACCTGTCGTAAGATCGAACCAATTTTCGACAAGTATATTTAGGAACTACTTTAAAGCTTTAACTTTAAGTACTACTCGAATGCAAAGCGTTTAAGAACGGTTATAATGTTTCAGTAATTCTTACTTTTCTTCCGCGCCTGCCTTCGTGTGGTTGAAGGGTGCTTTTATAGCTCCTTTTATCATCTTTTTACCTCTGAAAGAAATTTAAATTTCAGTGTCTACTTTCTTATAATACCACCCATCAAGTATAATGTAAACCGAATATGATGAATTATATAAACTGGCATGAACCCGTCTAGCCCTAAAGTGGTATGGTGTCAAGAAACAACAATGTTTATTTATTTTGTGATTTTGACACATTTAAGGGTCCAAATTTCGGGACTTGAAGCACTTATTCTTTGGCCAATTTTAAAATGGTCGTTGTTCATACCTGATCATCCTGATCTTAAGAGCAAGCTGGCGTTTGAACTCAGAACCTCTGAAGTAGAATATGAAAGGGTTGATGGCGCTGTTTAGGCATGTCATGACCGTGTAACCGATGGTTAGCAGGTAAGGGGGTATGTGCATCTGAAATATAATTTAATTATATTATATTATATCATATGAAGCTATCATAAAGATCATGCTGATATCATCATATCAGCTGATATTTAGATTACAGAGTTGCTTCTTTGACCGTCAATGTGTGCACCTGATAGTTGATGCACTTGGTCAATTCTATATAATTTATTGACACTATTCAAACCAAAGCTTATCCTTAACGAATTATGTGCAAAATTGCGAGTAGTGAAAATCTACGGGTGCTATAATAGGTGCTATGCTAGAGTTTTCAAAACCTTGTCTCTCATTTAAAAATGAGTAAACTATTAAATAAAATGAATTAATTTACTGGACAGAAATAAGTACTAACAAACAAGCTGCTAGGAATAACGTTGGTCTGAACCAGAAACTGGCAACTCATCAGAGTCCAGAGAGGAGTGTAACAGAAAAGAAAAGCCCCCACTATTAGCAGCACAGTGGTGGTTAGAGAGACCAGGTCTGGCGGGAGTCGGCCACCTGATTTAGTCTTGTTTGTCAACTGTCTTGCGGCTAGGTAACTTCGGTACACTTTGGGGATACACACTAGGCTGCGGTTGATTGTTTAAGTCATGATTGAGTCGTTGAGAGAACTTTTATTTAACTACCTCAGGAACCATATATTTTGGTTATAGAATGTCTTGTTGCAACATATTTAGTTTCATCAATTTCAGTTCCATGATAAGAAATACCAAGAAATACTGGACCTTTACCGATAGTTGAAATTCGACATCTAGCGTCATCTAGCGTCATCTAGCGTCATCTAGCGTCATCTAGCGTCATCTAGCGTCATCTATCGTCATCAGGCGACATCTCACGATAGTCCACTAGATGACGCTAGATGATGCTATATGAAACTAGATGTCGAATTTCAACTATCGGTAAATGTCCGAAATACCAATATACCAATACCAATACAAATACCAAGAAATATCAATATTACAATATTACAATGATTTAAACGTCTGACAAAGTTTAAGAAAGTAGTCAAATGGTCAATTTATCATTTGATAATGTGGCCATAAATAGAAAATGGCCACCCAGAGTTAATAAATATTGCGATCAGATTGGTCGAGTTATAATTGAAATGTCAAATGTAATGAGATGACGATGGGTTCTTATAGTAGCTAGTAGCTACATGTTTCAATAACGCACCTGCTGATCACAATTCCAAGACCAGGGAGTACAAAGGGCAGGATTAGAAGGAAGAAGTATCCCAGGATATAGTTTGGAGTGCCGACATCCAGAAACTCCAGGCTATACACGTAGAGCAGGGCCAAGGGTTGGTACTTGTACGTGTCTTTAAACATGTAAGGAATCGAAGACATCAGCAGTGCCACAACCCTGAAAGTGTTAATGATAAACAGGATTATCAGCAGTGCTACAACGCTGAAAGTTGTAACAAACAGCAGTACAACAACTCTCAAAGGATGACTAGGATGACAAGTATTATACTCACCATGTAGGATGACATGTAGGATGACATGTAAGATGACATGTATGATGACATGTAGGATGACATGTAGGATGACAAGTATTACTCACCATACACTTGCAGTGAGGGTCATGGTCATGGGAACAGTCACATATCGTTTGATCCTCAGCGGATAGCACATGAATGCACATCTTATCACGCTGTAGATGTTATTTTTGGTTAGAACTTAAAAATTAAATCAAGGAGAAAAATGTAACTGTCACTTGTTAGAGACAATTTTCATTTTATAGTGGTCAATAGTGTATAACTATAATCATAAACACACATCCTATCCAAACTCCTTGGTTACTTTTACATGCTTTGATTTATCGAAGTAGCAAACCTAAATCCATCAAGACAAAGGCATCGATAATGACATATACAAATAATATAGAATCATATTTTAATTTTATCGATTAGTACGTGAATATTTTACCTCAGGATGAGAGTTATGTATAAACTTGCTCGAGAACAGGTATTGTGGGAGAAACCTGTAAGTTGAAAGTTATCGACAAATTGATTTTAAAAGAGATCCAAAAAAGCATCAGTGTCAAGAGCATCTGATGAAGAGGTTTTAGAAGTTAGTTGTAAGAATTAAAGTACCACTATCAGTACTATAATATTGCTGTATAGCGTATACCTTACTCGGGAATATTATAGCGGGTTAATTTATGACTGGGAAAATTAATGACCGGGAAAAATATGGCGGACTTTCCCAAAACCCGCCAAATTATCCCGGTCATGAATTTACCGGTGGCCGACCTTTCAAGTTTTTTTTTCAGAGGTCAACAAATTTTCAACCGAAATTTCTGTTTTTTGTTACTTGTTAAAGAAGTTATTTCAATTTGCAGTTATTGATATTGCTCAGAAATAGAAAAAAAGACACGTCTATTTAAAGGAAAATAAATCCAAGCAATAATAAGTCAAATCTTCATTAAAGCGTATTATCATTCTCATTATCGCTAATGTCCCCTCCATTATCATTATTGATATCATTATCCCCCTGCTGCTGACCGTCAAATTCGAAGTCGTACTGTTGTCTTAACAAGACTTTCATTTTGTCCGCTAGTGGGGCTACTGCTATGAAGGTCAGCCGGAGCTTGATTTTCTGCCCACCGCTTGGTATTGGGGAACGTCTTGGCTTTTCATCTTCAACTGCTCCAGTAATCAATCTACCGTGGACCATGAAATAGTGGCACAGTTTACTCACTTCTAGCGGGGTGTGGCCACAAGTTACTTTAACGAGAAAAACTCCCTCTTTCTTTAATCTACACACTGCACACGAGAAGCGATCAATCTTTAGCGACTCAGCTGATGTCTCTCGCCCCACTATTACACGCTCTCCAGGTTCCGCCTTTGTCCAGTCAAGTAGCTTTGTAAACATGAAATCCTCGAGATGCGATCGCAGCCGTAAATTCCAGAATATGAGTATCATCAGCTCTTGGGACTTCTTCTATCTCGGGAGCCTGGCGTGCCATTCTCAACGTCAGAAAATTGGTACACTGTAAGCTAACGATGACGACTCAAACTGCAACAGTAAAGAAATGATAATTAACTGCCCTTTAGCAGTAGCTTGTCATACGTTGTATGACCCGCCGCGCACGAAGTGCGCGGCTCCCCCTGTATCGTCAGGACGATAAAGGGGACCATAGTGAAACGACCGTAGTGAAACGACCATAGTGAAACGACCATAGTGAAACGACCGTGGGGGTCGCAACGTGATACAAAGCAGTAGCTATACCACGAAGACGCTTCTTCCGCGAACCTGTGGGAACCGGTACTGCGCTGAAATCTGATTTCTATAACCAAATAGTAATTTTTATAACGAAATTATGGTAGCAACAGCCAATAAAGTTACAGTCTCCATCCACTGCTTCAAAATTCTTCTCTAGCACATATGAGACTTCAGGTAAAATATGATGATCACCACCCCCGCGCGTGGAACCCCATAATCTGACTCGGCGGGTTTTATTATGACTGGTAAAATTTTTGACCGGGAAAAATATGGCGGAATTTTCCAAAACCCACCAATTTATCCTGCAGTCATAATATACCGAGTAAGGTATATAATATAAGGCACTGTTCTGTGCATGACATTCAGACCTTAATGGTACCAATAGTTAGAGACTTTATGAGTATGACTGTATCAGTATGACTCATACAGTCATACTCATAAAGTTTCTAAATATTGGTACCATTGTATGAGACTCATCAATTATTCTAAGCGAAATTGATCATAAAAATCAATATTGCAAACATTTAAGATAATTGGGAAAATTTCGCGTTCAAAAACTGATGAAAAACTAAAATGGCAAATTATCTCACCAGAAATGGTCCCAAAAACTTCTCCTGTCTTTCGACAACAACTGCTACCATAGAGGAGAGGTTTTCTGAAATTGAAACTGAGTTATTTAAATGTTTAGCGTTCAAAAGTTTGAATAATTCCGTGAATATCAATAAGACCGAGGGAAATTTTGTAAGTAACTTTCCAACGTTTCAATGTAACTAACTACATGATCATATTCGTGTTATCAAATTATTTGTTTCATAAAATGGTGAAAATTGTTGTGATGTTTAGTGTTCACCATTTTATTTTCATAAAACAAATAATTCGGATATTGTATGAGCCTCTTAAAATGAAAAACTCGAATTGGTCGAAAAAGTTATGAATGTAATTATGGATTAAAGAGGCCCTAACCTTTTTTGCTTAAATTGATATTTTTAACTTGATTATTATTGATTCTATAACCCGCAATTAATAATCATTAATTGTAGCCCACTATCTATTTTTATTGATTCTAACCTGCTATTGAAAAGTACGAAGGTAACGTAGGAAGATGATGTTAATCCTGTAAGGAAGTCTGACAATGCGATACTGAAAATACAATTCAATAGTTATACCATGATATCATGAGACCTAGCTAATACAGCACCTCGATATTTTAAAGTATTTGTCTTAAAATTAATTGAGCGTTAGTCAAGTGTCATAAATTAATTTTCAAACGAATTACGAAATAGGGAAAACGAGTGAATTGTTTCAAAATTCAGAGCTTTCTTTTTTAAGTTATACAAGTAAGCTAATATAAAGGAACCATGAGAAACAATAAAATTATAAAATCTAACGATTCAGCTAAAAGTAGAGCGAAACCGTCACATTTCAGTTTTAAGACAAATAAATCAACTGGGAAAATGTTTTCTACAAAAGCCACATCGTTCTGTTAAACTTATAAAAGTAAGCTTCTCAGAATCTCAACCAATTAATCACTGAATCATTACTAACTTGGTGAAGAGGATGTTTGCTCTAGTTTTAGGCAGCCCAATGAAGATCTTGAGAGCAAGGGCGTTCCCAAAGATAGACACGATAGTAATGAGAATCATGCAGATCCCCAGGACTCTGTCTATAGTGGGGCTGAACCATCCCTCCATTATTCTAAATTAGGAGGCAATAAGTTAGTGCGGTAGAATTAAAACATTCAAATTTTAAAAGGGGCTTTATTTGAAGTCCACATCTTGCTATATATAAAGCGAGACGATATATATATATATATAATTATATTTATTTATCCGTGCCATTTTACTGACACCACGGCATCAACTTTAGGGCTAGGAGGGTTCTACAAAGTTTCAGATGGCTGCAAACGACTCGCAATAGCTATGTCAACGAAACAAAAAAGAAGACTGACAATTTAGAGCTATTTTTGACCTAAATACGCGTGCTTTTTTCTTCATCAACTCACAAAATAAGTAATTTAGGGCATATTTTGTTTCATAAGCTAGTCAGGGCCAAGTTCGTGAACAGTTGTACACCATCTTACTATATATAAAGCGAGACGATATATATGGATATATGGATCCGTGCCATTTTACTGACACCAGGGCATCAACTTTAACGCGACTTTCCGCAAAAACCGTAAAAGATATACAACTGAAACTTTTTTGACTGGGTCAAATGCTTTAATGGCGTTCAAATCAGCATGAAAAAATAAAAAATAGGCCAAGAAATAGGAGTTTTAGAGCCCAAAATTTGGACCCCCAAGTGGTGTCAAAAACGCGAATTAAATAGGTAATAATTATTTTAGTCTCTTGAGTCTTGACACCACTTTAGGGTTAGACGGGTTCCTGCTAGTTATTAATAAAGTGACAAAACGTTACAGTGACCTGTGACGTGTCAATGTCAAGTGTCACAACATACTGTCATTATAATCAAGGATCTGAAGACATTCCCGTCTATATAACTTCCGCCCCGGGGTTTGAGACTTAGAATAGCTCAAAGGACCCATCAGAAACAAATTTGGTCTGGGTAGAAATTTTGGCTATGGTGCAGTGTACGCGGTTTCACTTAATATTGAATATTTTGAACATTTTTGAACATTTAAAATATAATTTGGAACATTACAGTAACGTTATTCAAATCTCAAACAGAAAAAAGTATATTTCAAAGCTTTGTGTTTTGATCATATGATTATGGGTGTATAGTGATTTTGATTGCATAAATTTGATTGGGCAGTGATGGTGAGTGAGAGGATGATGGGAGTGCCAGCCAGTAACTCTGTCAAATGAACAGCCCACTGAGGAGTGGGTGAGCGCAAGCGCGAGAACGGCAGAGAGGGTGGCATAAAACGGATTACACGGCCACAGAAAAGACACAGAAACTAAACCGTGCGCGGTAAGTTAGCCAGTGTCTGAGAGCTGGTGTTGCCCGGCAGGAGGCATCCAAAAGAGGTGCCGTGGTGAACTCAGAACTGTGGAGGCAAAGTTCGAATGCAAGGCGAAGCAACTCAAACTGATGATGAAGAGGTAGACTGAACGGGAAGTAAAGAAAAAGGAAAAGGAAGGATCCAGCTGAGGTCTGGCTCATGTCAGGAAGTGATGAAAAGCTCACAGACAAAATCATCCGTGGCTGTCTACCCCATACGTAGGCAGTGTCCGAGATTTCAGGCATCAGGATACACTGAAATAGTGCAGAGCTGATTACGACCAGGGTCCTCACGGATACCCCGCCTCGGAGGTCGAGCCAATGCCCTGCTTTCGATACTTATGTCTACTGGTGGAACCTTCATATTTTCTCTACTAGCAGTCACTGTAACCCTATCACTCGGAAGGCCCCACAGCTCCTACATGGACGCACGGCCGGGAGCCCATGTAGGGATAAAAGTGAACGCAAGCCTTCCATCACATCCATCACAGATTCAAAGCTGGGAGGAAAAAAAAAGGGAGGAGAGGAAAAAAGAAGAAAGAATACAAAAATAGAAAACTGAGAAAGGAAACTAATTATCTGCTTTCAGACTGTCTTTGAAGTTGAGGGTTAGTCTGTAGATCTTGTTAATGGTGCTGGTTGAGAGTTTGATCAAACTTACGTCCTCATCACTGGGAGTATCCTTGCAATCAGACTGCGACATGAACGTGGAGGCAAGATTGAAGCTACCATTACCATTATTGTTGAGTAGGTTTCCACTGAGATTTTGAAATTTGTCCCTAGGACCTTTCCCTAGGGGGCAGAAATGGAGCATATGATTCTCGTCCTCGATGAATAGCTGGTTGGTGTTAAGCTCGCAATAGTTGCAGGTCCTTTGATCAATTGGAGTTTTGTCATATCTCCCCCTTTCAATTCTAAGGTGATGAGAACTGGACCGAATCTGTGTGGTTGCCCTTCTGTCCTGAAAAGACCTAGCATAGGTTAGATATGGCTCCCATGCAAATTCTGTTTTGACTTCACTGTAGAATGATAGCTTTCTAGAATCTTTCACAAGAGAACCCCAGGAATCGCGGAACTGTTTTTTCAGGTTCTCTGTGATTAATTCAGGGCTGCAGGAGTCTGCGAGTGAGGTTGCGTTCAACAGCGACGATGAATTCCTTTCAAGAAGGTCGATGTTGTTGAATGATTTGATGATTGATTCGATGCCTACAAACCATGATAATTTGAGGTTAATCTGCTCAGTCATTGCAGCTTTGACTAGTTGTGTAGAGGGGAGGCTCATAACTCTTTTGAAATATTTAGTACTCAGTTTCAACATTTCAATAATGATTGGGTATGAGCCAGTTTCTCCCCAGGCTGTAGCATTGACTGCCCTTCTGTTTATACCAAGAAGGTATTTTAGGTGTCGTAGATGCACTTGCTCAAGTTGCTGTTTAGCGATGTGGGAGACCGCATGATCAAGATTGTGAAACTTGCTGAAGCTAGAGAGGACCTTATTGACGGTGGGTAGAACCGGGGCCTAAACTTGACAGCCGTAAAGTAGAATTGGCTTAACAAGGGTGTTAAATAATTTGTTAAGGCAGGATGCATCAACGAATCTCCGGTCTATAGTGCTTCTCAAGCTGAAGTAAGCTCCAAGTCCTTTACGGTATAGAGAGTCAGTTGCTTGCCGAAATTTCCCTGTGCTGCTTATAATAATCCCAAGATAGCAGTAGCTGGAGACCATCTCGATATCTCTTTCGTGAATAGAAGGACGCCAATTTGGAATGTCTGGTCCTTTGCCATTGAAGACCATGAATTTGGTTTTGGAGATATTGATTTCCAGACCCCATTCGTTACAGTAGTCCCCAATAATCGTAAGCAACTTTTGGAGAGACTCAGGATCTAGGCCGAGGATTACTAGATCATCAGCCCACGCTAGGTGAGTCACTGAAAGTCCAGCGAGTGTCGGACAGTTCGCAGTAGCTTCGTTAAGGAGGTCAGAAAGCTTTTTAAAGTAAACTTTGAAAAACTCAGGACTAAGTGGGTGTCCTTGTTCAGTTCCTTTAAGGATCTTGAATGCTTCACTGATTTTACCATTCATCTTGATATGACCCTCTGATTTGCTGTACATGTCTTTGATGATGTCGTAGTAGCCACCATTGACACCATAGCAGGCTAGTTTGAACATGAGAGCTTGTCTGCAGACTAGATCGAAAGCTTTGCGAAGATCAATGAACACTGCATATATTTTACTTTTGACTTTCTTGTATTTTTCTATGGTGGACATCAGCGTAAATATATGGTCATTGCATTGACTTCCTTTGGTAAAGCCTGCTTGGTTGGGTGGATCAGGATGTGAGATTTGGCGGTGATTAACGAGCCGAGATAGCAGCATCGTAGAGAGCAGTTTTCCGATACAGCTACAGACTGCTATTGCTCTATAGTTGTCAGGGTTCCTGATGCACCCTTTTTTGTGAATTGGTGTGATCACACTTTTGCTCCAGAGGTAGACTCCTGTCTCCAGGCACAAATTGAAGAGTTTGAGGAGGAGCGACTTCATATTCATGCTCAGACCCCGGAGCATTTCGTTGCTGATGTGGTCAAAAGAAGATGCTTTGCCCGATTTGAGTTCGCCTAGCGCAGCGTTCAGCTCATCCGATGTAAATGGGCTGTTCAGTGACTCATTAGGGGCAGATCCCTCGGATAGGGCGTTGGCTTCTTCGAGGAGAGCTCTTTTAGTGAGAGTGTCTACGGTTGGATGATTGTCAGAATATAGCTCAGAGTAGAACTGATGGAATGAGTTGAGTTGCTCCGTTTCAGTTTGGACTTCTTCCTTCTTGTAGTTCTTAAGCTTCTTGAAATCTCTCCAGGATATAGTCTTACTGTTTTTAATCTTCTTGTTAAGGCTATTGAAGAAGTCATCCCTTTTCTTATTGACAATCTTTCGATATCCTCTAGAGTTGGCACGATGCCGTGTTTTGATTCTCTGGTTATCAGGATTATTGTCGACAATTTTTATTGACCGTTTGAAAAGGCGTCGTGCAGTGTGACACTTGCCGTCAAACCATGAGGCGAACTTAGGTTTTGGATTCTTAGTTTGTTTAGAGATATCGAACTCTTTTTTAGCGACATCGTTTATGAGTTCTGTAATATGCCTATTCAGTGCTTCAACTGCCTCATGGGTTTTTGGAGTGGATTCGACATCTTTGGTCAGTTGGGAGATTCTTTGAATGAACTCAGGCTGTTCAAATGATTTTGTGAAGTTGGCTAAACCCTCTTCTGTGATCTTGTATCGAAAGGGAGCTTCCTCGTAGATACTGGTGGGAGCTTGACTATTCCTTTGAGGGGCCCTTCGTCTATGCCAAAGGCTGAGTAAGATTGGATTGTGATCGGAGAACAGAGTGTGCTCACCCACTGAGAGGCTCTTGACACGGTGAAGAAAGGATGTTGATGCAATGAAGTAGTCCACTACGCTGTTTCCGTTCCACTTGTAGCATGTATATTTTCCAGCAGAGTCACCGATGGTACGTCCATTAAGGATCAGGAGGTTTTGTGATCCACAGAGGTCAAGCAAAAGGTTTTTGTGTCTATTGGTAATTTTGTCCTGGCTGTTCCTATTTTGAGATATAGGTGCCACATCAGGTATTACCATGAAGTCGGAAGACCTGCCAGTTTCTGGAAAGAGCTCGAATTCGTCCGCTCTGTCATACATATGAAAATCTGGAGCTACTCCTATCCTGGCATTAAG